GACACCCTCCCAGACGATGAGAAGCACAAAACATATTGACAAAACACAAGAATATTAGTAACTGATTCAAGGAGCAGATTGTATACTACAACAATCATGCAGAACTCAGCTGTAATAACTAGTGTCAGAATAGAGTATTGATAAATAAAAACAAAAAGTTACAATAAATAGTTGTTAAATCAAATTTTAAAAAACAGCATTAGATTAGGGAAATTGTTTCCAACCAGTGAAGAAGGAAACATCTAATGCTCCCCCTGATGCCCCCAGGAAAGACAGTGATTGAGGTTAGAAGCCTGTTCAAACAGGAGGTGTTCATCTATCAAGTTGGTCCTAGGAGCCTCCTTCACCAGAACCCTGGTGAGGCACCGGCATGGGAACAAGGCACCCAGTCATATCAGAGAAGGCCTTGCTACTTCCTAAAGAGAGAGAGACTACATAATCAAAGGCTGCAGGGCTTTTGTTTTGTTTTGGTTACTAAGCCTTGTTTAAAATGATGAGGAATTAGGAAATATGTTTTGGGGGTTTTTTTGGTTGGTCCTGGGGCTTGAACTCTGGGCTTGCTGGGCTTGGGCATTATCCCTGAGCTCTTCAGCTCAAGGTGAAGGCTCTACCACTTGAGCCACAGCACTACTTCCAGTTCTCTAGTGGGTAATTGGAGGTAAGAGTCTCATGGACTTTTCTGCCCGGGCTGACTCTCAACTGTGATCCTCAGATCTCAGCCTCCTCCTGAGTAGCTAGGTTTACAGGCATGAGCCACCAGCGCTCGGCAAGAAATATGGTTTTGAGATATTCTTACTATGTCCAGAAAAGTAGACACAGTTTAACAATGAATGTAAAAACACATTCCATCCAAAACATTGAATGGATAAAAGATGTAATCTAACTTCTCTGAACAGAGAGGAACATGCTCAGATCATGTTCTACATACAAACCGGGGCATGGCAGGACTGGGTGTGGTCCATGTTGGAGTGATGGCAAGACAGACAAGGAATGGAAATGAGGAGTGGAGGATGTGACCCAGGAAAGCATTACTCTGGGACCCTGCTTACCTGCAGAAAATGGCTTAAAATAGTCGCTGTACTTGAACTTCCCATTTTCATTCAAAAAGTGCTCTGGCTTAAATTTATCTGGTTCTGGAAATTCTTGGCTGTCATACAAAAGTGAATCCAGGGTTGGAATTACAATTGTGCCCTAGAAAAAGTAGACACATTGGTCAGTCAGCTTTAGAAAATATGGTCTTTCACCTGGAACTCCCAATGAATAAAAGATTATTTGATTTTTATTGTGCAGAATATTAAATATCTAGTTAAGAAAGTTGTTTAGTTAAGGACTAGACAGAAAACAACCAGGAGTCAATCCTAAATGAGATGACAACCTGAAACTTTTCACAAAATTAAAACCCTTGTCTTGGTTGGTGATTTTGGCTCCTGGGGTTAGAATGTGCTACGATTTCCAGGCCTCCTTTAGGGATGTACTCTCCGAGTATGCCTGTTTCTCTAGTCACCACGTCACGCGAGAACATCCCTGGCAGTAGGGTGGGAGTGCTGACCTGGACCACCATCCAGTCACCCTCACGACAGAAGCCCTGGAATTCCTGTCTGCACCCCAGCAGGCAAAGGGTGAGCCAGTCATCAGGACAAGGCTCACAGGAGGCATTGCATCTTGTCTCTGACCTTGGGAATCCGGTATCCTCGGAACATGATGTCCCGCGTCACCTCATGGGGAAAATTGGAGGGTATAAGATTGATGAATCGCTGAATCTCATGCACCACAGCATCCATGTAGGGCATCTCCAGCCTGTCTTTGACGGCAGGGGCGCGACTTGGCCCAATAACCCTGTCGATTTCTTCATGAAGTTTCTCTGCCAAGACATGAATGAGATCCATTTAAAGAGCTGATCCTGATCAAAGTAAATTGTATGCCCATATGGACATGTCTAAAGGAAACCCCTTGGTACGATTAATTGGTGCTAATAAAAATGTGAGAATAGACGAATACCTTGATTTCCCATCCACATCCTCCCGTG